AATTCGTTACTTCGACTACATACAGTATCTTAACGTTTTTTGCCTTTTTGTTTTCTTCCACTCATTGTCTAGAAGACACAAATGACGTGTCAACATTTTATTATTAAACATTTGCAAATAGGCTCTATCATTTAAAACATCTTGAGACACGTCCACGGTAAAAACGGATCACACAAGAGCAATACATTACGTGTATTGTCATATGAAATGTTTGCGCTCACAGCCACGACCCAGCAACACCGGAAGCGACCGCTTCCGCGCGGCACATTCGATTCTAGGGCAGGAGCCAATAGGAAAAGCAGAAACGGGTGTCATTTTAATTTACATTTATTTCAGCCATTCATATTGCACAAATCCATGACGGATCTTTCGCGTTCAACTCTTAAACCCAATAAGGAACAGTGAGGGGTGGGTGGGTAGCTTTGTTTTGTAAGGAGGGCATAGTTACATCGGTGGACAGGAGTTGGTTTCCTATTGCGGGTTTGGGAGAACGGTAAAGTGCTTTTATTTTTTTTATGGAAAAGATCATAAAATGAGCTATTCGATTTACGGTTTTATTTTTTAATTGAAGAGTATTACTTGCCTGTAAGTTGTGAAAGCGCATCTGTTTACGATCTCCTCAGTGGGCGATGTAGGTCAGTGGGCTGGGAAGCTGTAGTCTAAATATTATAATTTGTGTTTACGGTTTATTAAATCAATCAGAAATTGCGACTGGTAAATCGTTATTATGTTTTACTTGGAATTAGAGGGGCTCGCCGGTTCCTTTAGCGTACAGTGACAGACTCGTCTTGAAGTTACTTTACGAGTTGTAAACGTTTTGTTTAGAGGATGATAAACGTTAGGTTTAAGATTAATGTAAAAAGTAAAACCCTTAAACTGCTAATTTTTCCTCTCCTGACTCATTAAGTCAAGAGTGTTATTTAGCCTTTATCAATTCCTGTGTTACATCTGTTCGTTCTCGTAGTGCTCCATCTTTGTGTTTCCAGGTGGTGGCAGTCATGTACTTGTTTACAAACTAGAGGAGGTAGTTCAGCGCGTCTAGCTAGTTTTTCCATTTTTAGCTCCTTGATCCAAGAATTCCCTGAAGAGTGCCGGGTGTCATCTTCAACAACAGACAGGGTAGCTCATTACATGTTGCCACAGCTCTGTGTAAAGAAGTGCCACCTGTCCTTACTGCTTTCATGTATGTGTTGCAATGTGGATTCCTCTCCATACCCCACAATAATCTGACCCGTCTCGGTGTCGTTTACTCTAGCCCCAGCTTTCCTCCACAGTGGCATCACACCTTATTTATTCTGGTAATAGAAAGTTGTAGCATCACTAGATCCCTGGATTATGACAGCTGTAGCTGTATCGGCAGGATATGAGGAAGTAGCCACTCATATGCTATTAGTTTCTTTGCCACAGTCATGTCAGAAAATCAAACCTTTGGCTGAAACTCCCTTATTTGAAACCCTGAGCCCTCAACATGTCAAACCTTCAAAAGTGTCGTCACTGATTGCTCTGCATTGGCTACTTGTCCAGGGTGTCATCTCGCTTGCACATTGTGCTTCTGAGGTGGACACAGCCAGTCAGCACTTATTATCAGGAATAAGCAGCTTTCTGGTGATTGATAGATGTTCTAGCATTTTCTTTACTATGTCGTTGCCAGATTTTCTGTTTCGCACCATACCAATGAGTAGACCAAGGATTGTGGACCCAGTGTCCACTGACTCCAAACTGGTTATCAGACGGGTGGCAAGGACATTGTAACTTTTTAGCATCATAAGCATTCTTAGTCTGTACAGACTTAATAGTTAAATGGCACCTCACCATTTAAACATTAACCCTAAATGGCAGAGGTTCTGAAATCCAGCTTCTTGCACAGGGTTCATGATAGTTTCTGTTCCTGTTCTATAATTTAAGAGTATAATGTCTTTAAAAAAAGGTTTGATTAAGGCTTCAATCATCTTAATTCATTAAGTGCTTGATACAAGTAAAACCAGATGAGACAGGAGTACTGCAGGATTATGACCCTGCTTGAAACATGCTTGAACAAGTTGGTTAAAATGTTTTTTTTTTTTCATATTTTGCTTGAAACCTTAGGAAGATTAATACAGTCTGGTCTAGTTACAAGTAATCACAGTGCAATGGAATTTTTGTACTTCTAATTTTAAGAAATAGATTTAGATCCCTAAATAAATAAATTTAGATCCCTAAATAAAGGGATTTTTTTAAATTGTGCAATGAATTACTATGAATGCACTACTTTTCCAGAGGGAGAACAATTCTTAAACAAATTATAGTGTGAGTCTAAAACAAGCTACCCTATACCCTGGTTTCAACCTAGTAGTGGTTGAGATTCATATATCAAACACCTATCTGAAACCTAATGAGTTAAGTGGGCTTGATAGCCATCTCTCATTTGTAAGCTTTCTGTGTTCATGCAATCTCACTTCAGCATAGTCAGTTTTGTCTCTTGGTAATACGTGCCATCTTGCTATGATATTATTTTCTTTGTTGCTGTACTATAACCTGTGTGTAGAGTATATTTTTAAAAGACTGTTAAACTGGACATGAACTTTTCATAACTTTCTATGCCGCTGAAACCAGTCCTCCTAATAGGAAGGCAGTGGATGATTGAGGGATGTCTTGCTTGGTTATTTGGGTAGAACTAGAATATAGCTTTATGCCAACAAGAAGCTCTAACTGATGTACAGTAGTGTAATTTAATTAGCTGTGCTTGACCTGGAGCTGTCAATGTATACAGGCGCAATATGATTATGTAGCGGAGCTAGTTTGGACATGGTGACGTCATAGTCCTCCCTGCATGTAGCAGGGACCTCAGCCGCCCGGGTTGAGGGAGGTCTCCTTTAGCTCAATCGGCTGGTTCCCTGTTGCGTTACGCCGGAGACCCGGGTTCGCGCTTGGGTGTTGCGTGACGAACCGGCGGGGTGGAGTGGTGAGGGCATGAGCCCGAGCGGAACCGGGAGGGTCAAATTTCCAAACTTATTACTGATGTGCTTTTTGTCTTTGCAGAGACGAGGACAAAATGGACGTCTTTGAGAAGCTTGAAAGTACTGCCTTGAAGTTGAGAAACATGGCACTGAGCAGCTGCCAGTCTCCTGTCCTTACCAGCAGCAAGGAAGAAGAAACACTCACACATTTGCTCAGGTTTGTTTCGTATTGTGCTTTTCCAGGTGTCTGACATTTTAATTCACCTTAATAGTAGTATGAAGCATTTGTTAAGCAATTGAGGAAATAAGTGTCTTTTTCTGATAGTGCTTTTCTCGTCTGGCTTGTTATGGGTAGGTGATTGTAATAGCTCCACGCCTCAGGAAGAACTGCACGGGTTCTCAAAACAAATTGTCTTTTTTGAAATGCTAGATGCTACCCTAGTGTAAATATTCATGCAGCAAAATGTTCCACAAAGGAAGTGCAACCAACCAACCAGCCTGACCCTGTCCGCTGGCTATGGTTTGGTTATGTTCCTTCTGGCAATTTCAAGCTGTGCTTCCCTCTGGCTGTTTTTTTAGAAGCAGAGTTGGTTTTGCTCATGTCAGATTTCTGTGAAGTCAGCCTATATCCCTTCAAAACATATATTACTACAGAGACGATGTGCTTTCAACAAAATAATGAATGCCTAGTCCATTTGCAAATATTAGGAGGAGAGACAGAGCTGCAGAGAGCTGCATTTTGGAAATGGAAGGGCTGATGTTTTTTTTTAATACACATTAATTTAATTCACAAAAACATCTTAAAAGATGTGCGTCTCAAGAGATTTAGAGTCCGGAAAGGGGGTGAGGAGACAGCACGTGGAGGCACTTGTTTTCGTGACCAATATAACATTCTAAACTTTCATTTCATTCGATTTTAATGTATTTATCTAAAATATTCTGGGTATCGCTATCCTTTGGGGTCTGGACATTCTTAATCTGTCCATTCATAATGGCGCCTTTACCTGTTTCGAGGGAGCATCCATGTTCACTTAAACCACTTGTCAAGCCAGCAGTTTCATTACACATACAGACACATACATACACATACAGTATTCAGGTGACGTAGGTAACCT